ACACACACACACACACACACACACACACACACACACACACACGCACGCATGCACCTTCTCTTTCAGCTGTGTGAGTGTCCTCTGCCGCTGCCGCTGCTCCTCTTGCTCACTCAGCTTCTGCTGCAGCTTCTCCTCCAGCCGCAGCGAGTCCTGCACACACACACACGCACACACACACACAAAGACACAGTCAGGTGTCTGCCTGGACTGCACTGCTGTCAGGTCAGTGCTCACACACACACACACACACACACACACAGGGGTCAGTGCTCACCCTGTGCTGGAAGAGTCTGATGGCTCCGTCTGCATGTCTGCTGCGCTGCCGCTGCTGCTCCTGCTCCTGCTGCTCCTGCTGGCGGCGCCGCTGCTCCTCCTGCTGTTTCCTCTGCTGCACCTGAGCCTCCACAGTGACCCTGAGCTCCTGCTGCCGCCGCCGCTGCTCTGCTGCCCTCCTGCTGTGCTGGATCTGCTGTCGGAGCTGCTCCTGCTGCTGCTGCTCCTGCTGCTGCGCCCGCATGCTCTTCCAGGCTTGCAGTCTGTCCTGCTGCTGCCTGCGGCGCCGCTCCTCCTGCTGCCGACGCTCCTCCGTCTGCTCCTCCGTCTGCTCCCCTGTCTGCTCCTCCTGCTGCTCCTCCGTCTGCTGCCGCTGCCGGGCCGCTCTCCAACTGCGGATGGCCTGCGGGAGCAGCAGCGTCAGCTCTCCACATCATCATGCTCATCATTACTGTGCTCATCATCAGCGCTGCCGTACCTCCCTCCTGTGCTCCTGCAGCCGCTGCAGCTCCTGGTGCCACTCCTGGTGCTGCTGCAGCTCCTGCGGGCTCCGGTCAGGCAGGTGTCGCTGCAGCTCCGCCCTGAAGGACGCTCCGCCGGCGCCGCCGTGTTTATTCCACAGCCGGAGGAAGCTCAGGTGCTCCCGCTCGTCCCAGCCGCCGCACCGGCCCGTCTGCTGCAAGAACCGCTCCAGCTGCACCACCTCCACAGGAGCATCACCACGCTCCCAGGGCAACTTAGAAGAGCCGGAGCGGGGCCCGGGGCCCTCGGCCCGCACACACACACACTCACACACACTCCAATCCTCCATCCTCCTCTCCAACACACTGATCTCCTGCTGCACCCGCTGCTCCTCCTTCAGGAGCTCCTCGAACCTGCAGATGGACAAAGAGTCTGAGCGCCGGAACACACAAACACACAGAGACACTCATACACACTGCGCACACCTCTGATGCTGTGTGTCTTTGAACACACTGATGGAGCTCTCGATGTCCGCCATGGTCTCCTGCAGCCTCTGGATCCCTGTAGGGGGGCAGAAACAGACGTGTGCTGCATTACTGCCCCATCAGGACACACTGAGCAGGGTCTGTCTGCTGCAGGGTCAGCCTTACCATCTGCAGACACTCTGAGGCCCGGCAGCTGCTGCTGGAACCTGGAGACGGACATGCGGAGCTGCTGGAGCTGCTGCTGGACACTCACCGCTGAGCACACACAGCATAATTATGGGTCAGTGATGGGTTAGTGATGGGTCAGTGATCGGTCAGTGACTGGTCAGTGATGGGTCAGTGATCGGTCAGTGATGGGTTAGTGATGGGTCAGTGATGGGTCAGTGATCGGTCAGTGACTGGTCAGTGATGGGTCAGTGATCGGTCAGTGATGGGTCAGTGATGGGTCAGTGATCGGTCAGTGATGGGTCAGTGATGGGTCAGTGATGGGTTAGTGATGGGTCAGTGATGGGTCAGTGATCGGTTAGTGATGGGTCAGTGAC